TACTGAAACCCAAATGAAGGCTGAACATAATAGTGGAACAAGAAGAAAGTAAAAGGAAATAGAGGAAAGAACTAGGAAGCAAAGGGCATTTATAGAAGTCTAAATAGAGGCATGTACATGTATAAAGATATTTATATATGATGATGGGGAAATAGATCTATGTGCATATATTTATAGGTTTACTATTAAGGTAGGTAGCAGATGGACATTGGGCCTCCACTCAGGTACTCCCTCAATGCAAGAACACTTTGTTCTATTAAACTTGCATTCCATGATGCTTACCTTCCCGACACAATCACTGAAGACAAAGCGGGTGCATAAGCAAATGTGGGGAAGAAAGCTGATGGTGCCCGGCTATCGAAAGATGAAGCGTCTGGGGTCTTAAAGGCTTGAAGATAAACAAGCAACCATCTAGCTGAGAAGCAACAAAGCCCACGTGGAAGAAGCACAGCAGCCTGTGTGATCATGAGGTATCAATGGAATCCGGTATCAGGCATCAAAGAGCAAAAAATCATATCATTGTGAATGTGAGGGAATGCGGAGTGGGGACCCAAAGCCCATCTGTAGACAACTGGACATCCCCTTACAGAAGGGTTATGAGGAAGATACTAGCCAGTCAGGGTGCAGTATAGCAACGATGAAACATACAACGTTCCTCTAGTTCTTTAATGCTTTCTCCCCCTCCCCCAATTCCACCTTACAAATCCAGCTAGACCAGAGGATGTACACTGGCACAGATAGGATCTGGAAACACAGGGAATCCATGACAGATGAACCCCTCAGGACCAGTGGTGAGAGTGGCGATACCGGGAAGGTAGAGGGAAGGTGGGGTGGAAAGGGGGAACCAATTACAAGGATCTACATATAACCCCCCCTCTGGGGGACAGACAACAGAAAAGTGAGTAAAGGGAGACGTCAGACAGTGTAAGACACGACAAAATAATAATAATTTACAAATTATCAAGGGTTTGTGAGGGAGGGGAGGTGGGGAGGGAGGGGAAAAATGAGCTGATACCAAGGGTTCAAGTAGAAAGGAAATGTTTTGAGAATGATGATGGCCATAAATGTTCAAATGTGCTTGACACAGTAAGTGTATGTATGGATTATGATAAGAGTTGTACCAGCCCCAATAAAATGATTAAAAAAATATTTTTTTTGCAGCCTTGAAAACACTACGGGGCAAGTCTCTTCTGTTTTATAGGGCTGTGATGCGCAGTGCACAATGCTTAGTGTTCAGTGCACATAGCAACAGCCTATTTACTGGGTGCTTATTCTCCCCGTTGTAGCTGAGGCATGGAGAAAAGTGATGTAATTTGCATCTGTTCATACAACCAGTAGCAAGGTTCTGTGTTCAGTCTCAAAAGAGTGACACTAAGAGATTGGACTCTCCTCCACGAGGTGTCAGCTGGTTGTTGTTGCCCCCATCAAGCCAACTCTGACTTTTGGCAGCCGACATATAACGGAACAAAGCATTGTCCAGCCCTGCACCATCATCATGCTTGCTAGCAGGTTTGAGATGACTGTTTTGCAGCAGTTAATGTGCAGTAAACCTGAGCGTCAAACCTGGACAACCTGTACTGCTTCTAAGAGAGGCCTGGTGATTGATTCGTTGTTTCAGAACTTGGCTGTTAACTGAACCACCAATCTCTTTGCAGGGAGAACATCTAACTTTTGTTATGATTTACAGCCATGGAAATGCTGGGAACAAGGGTGGGGGGGGGTGTTCTGGTGGGGAGAGGGCTGTAGTTACAAAGGGTCGATATCTGTTGCAATCAACTATCCAGCTACTGGTTTGATTTTTTGGAATAGTCTGACTTCTAAATAGATGGCAAGTGTTTCAGTAACACACCAACATTATAAAGCCAATAGAAGCCGTATTTGAACCCAAGCATATCATATTCCAGAAAAACCTCTCCTGTTTTTGGTCTCACTGGGCTCAGTCTTCCAAGGAGGCTATAGAAGAGACTCCTGTCTGCTGTCGGGAAGCCCTAGCCTATGTGGGAACAGACAAAGCCATTCATCACCAAACCTTGTCCCCCATGAAGGCAGCAGCAAGGCTTTCCCTGTATTTGCTGTGTCCCCACTGCACGTATCTGTACATTCAAACGATTGCTGCATCTACAAAGATACAGATGGGCTCTTGGACCGTTTACTTGGCAGAGAGTGTTAACAGCTACCCAGGTAAATGGTGGTGCACGTAGATGTCCAGATGGCTGTTCTAAGTGAGTGCTATGGGACCTTTAGCTTATGAGAGGAAGCAGTGGGACTGTGGGCAACTTACTATATCCCAGGCACTGTTTCAAAACCTTTTAATGTTTTTACTCAGTTACTGCTCACAGCCAGCCTATTAGAAATCCCAGATTAGTGGCCGTCCACTTGATTCTGATTCATAGTGACCTTATGAGTGTGCGAGTAGAGTTAACCCCCACAGGGTTTTCGATGGCCGGTTTTTCAGAAGTAGATCACCAGGCCTTTCTTCTAAGGTGCTTCTGGATGTGCCTGAAGATCCACCCTTTCAGCTAGCAGTCAGGCACTTAACCTTTGCACCACTCTAGTGTCGGCTGCTGTCAAGTCTATTCCGATTCACAGCAGCTCTTTAGGACAGGCCCATAGGGTTGTCAAGACTATACGTCCTATGAGAGCAGATAGCCTCTTCTTTTCCCCATGGAATGGCCCTCTGACCTTGTGATTAGCAGTCCACTGCTTAACTCTGGTGCCACCAGGACTTCCAGTTATTCTTGTCCCACCAACCCCCTTTTCAGACCTGGGAGAGCTCAAGTGCAGAAAGGTCATATCGGTCTTACATGGAAAAACTGGGATTCAAATCTCGGTCATGGCATCAGGATGAGCAGGCTTCTGTACTGCCTAATGCCCGTGTCTTGAGTGTGGAGGTAAAAATCACGGTGGAATAAAGTTCTCCTGGGAGAAGGAGAATCGAATACTGTGTTGTGAACAGTTAAGAATCTGATGGAAGGTTCTACCAGGGGGCACTGCGTGCTGGCCTTAGTCTTCAGCCTTGATCTTGAAGTAATCTCTAGTAAATCTCTAAGGAGTGGTCCTCTGCCCCCCTGCAAGCACCTCCATAAGTCGGTTTTCCAATAGGACATTGATTTGTTCTGATCCCCCTGTGCTCCCTCCCAGGCTCTCTCCTGATCGAGGACATATATTTGCAGATGCGTTGGATCTGTAACTCTTCTAATCCCAGCCTGTAAAGGAATCAAGCTGAGGAACCACGAAGCCAGAGGCCCTGGAATCTATTACCAATTGTGTAGTGTTGGAGGAGCCCTGGTGGTGTCGTGGTGCAGCTCCTCAGGAAAAAGACTGGGCTTTCTACGCCCGTAAACAGCTACCTTCTCGGAAACCCACAGGGGGCTTTCTGACTATGAGTCAGCATTGACCCGATGGCACGGAGTTTGGTTTGGAGTCAGTAAAGGGGATTTTTCTGAGTTCAGTAGAATTAGAACAGTTTCTCCACCCTGACCCTACTGATATAATCCTTTGCTGTGGGAATCTTGTGCATTATAAGATATTTATCTATCTGCCTGTTTTCTCTTCTTAGCCACCAATAGATATCAATAGTATCCAACCCTTCTTGTGACAAGCAAGAATGTCTCCTTCCAGACACTACCAGGTGTTCCTTAGGGGGGTCACCCAAAAAGCTGGTCAAAACCACTAGATAGAGATACAAAAGCACACACATCCGCATGGGCACACACACCAAGAATGTGTTTGGTTTCTCTGTTTTTGTTTTGTTTTTCTGAATGTGTTTGTTTTCTTCCTTTCTTTTTTTCTTCGATAGTCAAGTTCTTTTGGTGGGTGCCCCTCCCCCCCTTATTTCATTTTTGCTTATTTGTTTGTAATCCAAAAGGAATCTTACTTCAAGCTTGATTTGTGTTTTCTGAATGTGTCCATTTCAGAGGTGCCCCGGGATGTAGTGGTTATACGTGGGGCTGCAAGCTACCAAGTCAGCAGTTGGAAACCACCAGCTGTTCCTCTGGAGAAAGACGGGGCTTTCTACTCCTGTAAGGGGTGTCAGTCTCTGACGCTCGGGGGAGCAGTTCTCTCCTGCCCTCCAGGGTGGCTGTGAGCCAGCATTGCCTCAATGGCAGTGAGCCAAGTCTGCCCATTTTAGCATCACTTGGTGCAGAGTTGGTTATGGTTGGAGCTCTGGACACTCTTGAGTTCAGCTGTGTGCCTAGCACTCTTTGGCACTGGACATGCATTTTCCTACTCAGTCATCCAATAAAATCCTCGTGTTATAGAAGACCCCTGATTTCACTGTCTTTGAGTGCCACAGTTGGGATTGGGACCCAGCTGCCTGTGGTGCTACTTGATCTTCTTGTCCACGATGCTGAATGACCTTTCTTTTGTATGACGTTTACAGTATCCTATCAATGGATGAATGGATAAACATAATGCCACATATATCCATACAATGGACTATTACTTAGTCATAAAAAGATACAAAGTATTGATACATGCTACTACATTTATGAACCTTAAAAACGTTATGTTATGTGAAAGAAGAGTTACCAAAGACCTCATTTTATCTGATTCTACTTCTGTAACATAGCCAGAATAAACAAACTACGGAGACTGGAGTAGATACATAGATGCTATGGGGTAGTGGAAAGGGTGTGGAAGGAGGGAGGGTTTTGGGTGTTTTTCCCCTCTGATTGTGATGGTTCCATTATACTGTGAATATGCTAAAAACCAGACTTTAAATCAGTGAACTGTATGGTTTATATTTCAGGGAAGCTGTTTTTTGAGAAAGATATACTTTAAAAAATTTTTTTAAGTTACAATACCCCTAATGCATACCCCTTCAAATCCTGATTTCAGAAGTTTAATAAATGTCATGAAATTGCATCTCGGGGCAATGAATCACCTAATGAAGTCTGGTGCTTGTAGATGGTTTGGACAGCTGTTTGGTTACTCTCTGGGCATAAGACGGAAGCTGGCACTCACTGTGGACATACATCTCTCTTTATTACCTCCAGAGTGTCTCTATGTGTTCCCCTGCCATTGGAATTACCGCCCCGACCACTGCATGTATGGGAGCAACTGCAAAGAGGCCGAGCTAGAAGGTGTGTCTGTCCTGCATGGGAACCGAGGTGTCTACCATGATGATAAGCAGCCAACTTTCAAAGCGCTCTATGAAGCAATACGGGATGTAAGTGTGCTCCTGCCTTGGTTACCTGAAGCAGACGGGGGCTTTGTCACCCGTCCTCTGGAAGGTCGACTGGTTTCTTCCCCCAGAGCTTGCAGTTGCATCAGGATGCCCCCACTCCACTCACTCTACATTCACGACAGCCACCTGCCACTCTTCACCAGAGCCACTCCTTAGTTCACCAAACCAAACTCACTGCCTCGAGTGGCTTCCGCCCCACAGCGCCCAACAGAACGGGGTAGAACTGCCCTTGCGCATCCGAGACGCTAACGTTCCCTTCGTTCTCCCTCAGCGGCTGGTGGTTTCACGCTGCTGACCTTGGGGACTGCAGCCCAACTCGTAACCGCTATGCCACCAGGGCTCCTTTCTCCTTACTTATTATCTCCAAATAAGTTATTCTTTTATTTTTTTTAACTTAAAGAAATTTACTTGAAATTCCACATCACAGAGGGAAACCCTGTGCCATTGCCATAATAACCCAAAACCAGACCACGGCCATTGAGTTGATTCCTACTCATAGTGGCCCTATGTAACGTTTAAGATGAAATTTCTATAGGACCAGACTGCCTTGTTTCTCTCCCTTAGAACCACTGGTGGGTTTGAACCTATGATCTTGCAGGCAGCATCCCATCATCTAACCCACAGCACCAGCAGGCTCTTTATTTACTCTAATAGGTTCTACTCTGCCCTCTAAGGAAGCGATGAGTCTGAATTCAACTCAGTGGCAATGGGCCTGGTTTTTTCAAACACCCTCCCTTTGCCATTTATTAGTTGTTGGTTAGACAAGGTCAGCAATGCAAACCACCTTTTGCTCCACAGAAGAATGACGAGACTGTCCACCTATGTAACAATTTACAGTCTCAGAAACGCCCCTGATCTTATTTCTGCTGATTTGTTTGGAATCCAAAAGGAATCTTATTTCAAGCTTGACTTGTGTTTTCTTGATCTACCCATTTCATGAGTGCCCTGGGCGTGTCGTGGTTACACATGGGGGTGCTAGCGACAAAGTCAGCTGGTGGAGACCGTCAGCCGCCCCTCTGGAGGAAGACGGGGCTTTCCACTCCCATAAGGAGTGACAGTCTCGGAAACGCACAGCGACAGTGCACCCTGTCCTCCAGGGTGGCTAGGAGTCAGCATCAACTTGATGGTGGTGAGGAAAGAAGAGAGAAATGTGGGCATGCCCCAATTTACAGTGTATCTGAGTTAGGACAAACTACACGTATTCCATCTTTTCCCCTCCTTGTACATCTTGTCAGATGTTTGCTGGCAAATGTTCCATGCTATTATTTACTGTTCAGAACACTGCTGTATAGCAGGCAATAACCATGTTTTTAATTAAAAGAGAGAGATTGTGCTTACATCAGAGCCCACTCAGAGTGGAGTTGTTGGAACGGAACCCCGTTTGTAAGTCATCGGCCACCTGCATCTTCTTGCCTTAAATCCAAGATGGACAGAACTTCCTTTTTGTCTCACCACCTAACATCAGACCAATTGCTACCTGCGAGTGCCGCGCACCCCACATTTTTGGAAAAGCCTCAGTCCACGTTATCTTTTGAGTTTGCCAGGTAAAAACCAGCAAAGCTGACTTTCAGGGCTCACTCTTTGGAAACAGCAATTCCAAAACATGGAGCAGGAGGTTAGTGAACTTGGGCCAACCTGGCCTGCTACCTGGTTTTGTTTGTTTGTTTGTTTGTTTTTACACTGTGAGGTCTAAGAATGCTTTGTAAGCTATGGATAGAGGAGAGGTATAAACATAAGTGTGTACATATGTAAATATACTAATTAATTAAAATACAGGTATTGGCCTATGCACACATATTGATATGGAAAATACATTGAAGTAATAGATGGACTTTGGACCTCTGTTGCAGCCCACCCTCAATGCAAGAACTCATTGTTCTAATGACCTGGCATTCCACAATCCTCACCCTCCCAGCATGGTCACTGAAGATAAAATGGGTGCACAAGCAAATGTGGTGAAGAGAGCAGATGGTGCCCAGCTATCAAAAGATATAGTGTCTGGGGTCTTAAAGGCTTGATCTTTTTTTTTTTTAAATCATTTTATTAGGGGCTCATACAACTCTTATCACAATCCATACACACATCAATTGTGTAAAGCGCATTTGTACATTCATTGCCCTCATCATTCTCAAAACATTTTCTCTCCACTTAAACCCCCGGCATTAGGTCCTCATTTTTCCCCTCCCTCCCCATTCCCCCCTCCCTCATGAGCCCTTGATAGTTTATAAATTGTTATTTTGTCATATCTTTCCCTGTCCGACGTCTCCCTTCATCCACTTTTCTGTTGTCCGTCCCCCAGGGAGGAGGTCACATATGGTTCCTTGTAATTGGTTCCCTCTTTCCTACCCACTCTCCCTCTACCCTCCCTGTTTCGCCACTACCACCACTGGTCCTGTAGGGCTCATCCGCCCTGGATTCCCTGCATTTTCAGCTCCTATCTGTACCAGTATACCTCCTCTGGTCTAGCCAGACTTGCAAGGTCGAATTTGAGTCATGATAGTGGGAGCGGGGAGGAAACATTCAGGAACTAGAGGAAAGTTGTATTTTTCACCGTTGTTACATAGCACCCTGTCTGGCTCATCTCCTCCCCGAGACCCCTCTGCAAGGGGATCTCCAGTGGCCTACTAATGGGTTTTGGGTCTCCACTCTGCACTCCCCACATCATTCACTATAGTAAGATTTTTTGTTCTGATGATGCCTTATACCTGATCCCTTCGACACCTCATGGTTGCATAGGCTGGTGTGCTTCCTTCACGTGGGCCTTGCTGCTTCCGAGCTTGATGACTGATTGATTACCTTCAAGAAAGGCTTGATCTTAAACAAGCGTCCATCTTGCAGAGAAGCAATAAGCCAAATGGAAGAAGCACACCAGCCTATCTGACCATGAGGTGTTAACAGGATCAGGAAACAGGCATACGAAGACCCCAAACAAATATTGTTGAGAACAAGAGGGGTCGGAGCAGATACCTAAAACCCATCTGTAGACAATGGGACATCCCTTCAGAGAAGGGTCACAAGGGAGGGATGAGTCAACCAGGGCGCAGTATAGCACCAATGAAACACACAATATTCCTTTGGTTCCTTGAGGCTTCCTCACCCCCCACTATCATGACCCCAGTCCTGCCTTCCACTTCGCGCAGGACTGGGGGCTATACACTGGTACAGATAAGAGCTCACAACATAAGGAATCCAGATCAGAAAAACCCCTCAGGAACAAAAATGGGAATATCAATACCAGGAGAGAAGGAGTAAGGAGGGGAGGAAGGGGGAACCAATCGCAATGATGGACACATCACCACCACGACCACCACCATCACCTCTAGAGAGAGAAAACCAGATTGCTGATAATTTTATATATATATTTATAAAGATAGTTATATAGCACAAGAAATGAACAGTTAAATTATAAAGCAGTACAAATGGCTCAGTGCAACTCATTCCCATGAGAGAGTTGTAAGACATTAGCAGTCCTTCAAGTCGTGAGGGCTGCCAGGTCTTCCTCTGTAGAGAGAGCTAGGTTATATCAGCACAGCAGCAAATAGCAAGGTAGGTCACCAACTGTCAGTCCCCAGCTCCAGAGATGTAAATTTCAATCATGTGGTCTTCAAGGGACCTCAACTTACAGCGACACAGTCCACAGGCTAGGCGTCCCACAGGCAGTGTAGCCTGTAAATTGAGGCACAGAACAAGCAAGGCAGCTGCACACTGGTCTGATGATCAAAGAGCAAGAGACGAAAGGCGAGGCTCACCGAGCCATTTATCTCTCCGCCCTTCAATTAACCCCACTTGTGTTTATCGGCCAGGCTGGCACAATAAACTAACTACCTCAATCGACCCCTTGCCAACCTGGAACCTGTACACAATTCTTTAGCCATATATACTTATATAATTTCCGGACATTGATGAAATCACGCTTATCATCAATCATCTATCATACATATAAATGAAAACACACTGAGTCCAATTGTATCTGATATATTATACCTGATCAAAGGAAAGATATGCAGTAAGCACATAAAAATAAAATACATTGACAATTACAAACCTCGCTTTTGCAATTGATCACGTGGTCATAATTGATAGGTAGACTACCTTCTACTACTATCCATTCTGTATTTCCTTTGCCCTCTACCATCACGGGGACCAATCAGCCCCATTGTGGGCATTTGGGCCACTTCTTCATGCAGCTTACTTGTCCCTTCAGGTCCTGCTTTGGCCCGATCTCATATATACCACTTCATTTAACAATGGAGTGTTGCTGCGCACGTCCAACTTTATGATTCCATGGGTCAGGAGTGCTTCTAGAGAAATAAAATCATAAATATGGGCTTCTTAAATTGGCTCTCCAGCCTGTTTAGTCTTAACACTAGTAATGCTACTTCAACACCCCAAAGCATGGATGAGTCTGCTACTCCTACTAATCCATGGTGTGAAGTAGAAAAGACAATATATAAAGTGGCACCACTGATAGATGAGGTGCTGGTTAAAGGAGAGGCTCTGAATGTGTGGTATTTTCCAGGAGTTTTGTAAGGATGACAAGTGTAGAGAAGTTGGTTGGCTGGTCCTTCTTACAATGGAAAGTGTGATTGAGGAGAGGGATGGTCCCAGAGCCTCAAAAGTGTGCCTCAGGCGCAGACTAACGGATTTGAAAACTTCCACCTGTGCTACAAAGGAGAGCCTTCTCTCCTCTAGCAAAAGAGCTGACATTGCTGAGAACCAGGTCCAGAGTCTCATTATGCGAGTGGCTGAATTACAACGGCAGCTGAATTGCAGATCTAGAGCAGTGTCTGAAACCAAAGTGAGAGCATTGATTGAGAAAATTTGGGACCCCGAAACATGGGATGGGAACATATGGGCTGATGATCCAGAAGAGGAGGATATTGAGCCCTTAGAAACAATTGACCCAATAGATCTATGAGTCTATATTTATAGGTTTAGTATTAAGGTAGCAGAAGGACATTGGGCCTCCACTCAAGTACTCC